ATCCTCATAGTATTTTCAAAACCCACTGCTTATCCATACATTTCTCTTGTAAAATTTCGGGAGGAAATTTCAGCACTCATAAAACTTTGCTTGTAGTTTATCAATGACACAATCATTTTTCACTTTCTACAACCGCCATGGTGTTATGGGTGAAAGGACTGCATGGGTCATGGCAAAATAAGATGCTAAAAATTAAAAACCAGAAGTTTTTCGGGAAAACCAATAGAGTTGGCAGCAGCTGAATTTTACATATTCCATATACTTTAACTCCTATTAAATTTAGTCTATTAAAATATGCCGAATGGTCTCACGCAGTATGACTGCATGAGTAAGTCTGCATGACTGCATATGTGCTTAAAGCATACATATATGTAGAATCAAAAATTTTTTATTTAAAAACAAAATTATTCCAAGTATTTTCCATGTGATATGCTGCTGAAAACTGACGAGTTAAAATGTAACCAAACTTTTGAATAATGTGCCAACTGACAGAGGGAACATGATACAGCTATTGAAAGCATATAGTGGCAGGTTTAAAGAACAAATTGCCATTTAATGCATTTTGCTCTGATCATCAGTCGGCAAGCTACAGCTGCTGAAGTAAGCACATGCAGAAGCTGTTCAATGTTGCTATAAAACTGGCAAAACTTTCACAGACATTTCAGTTGCTTAGCCAAACATATGAGGAGAACTTTACGAGTCACACACAGAGCTACGAGTGGTATAAGCATTCCGAATGCAGCAGAATGTACGTCATCAACAACCCCATGGCGGAACGACCCTCCACATTAATAGATGATGATCTTGTTGAGAGAACAACCCTCCACATTAATAGAATTTGTGCCGTGATTCGTGGAAATCATCATTTAACTGTTTAAGAAGTTGTTGATGAAGAGGATATCAGCCTAAGATCATATGAGTTGCAAAATTAAAATGTGCTGTGTTAATGCAAAATTCACGCTGCATTTACCGACTGATGATCAGCAGCCAGGAACTGCTTGCCACTATCAATGACAATGAAAACTTTTGAAGGAATAACATAACAGATGTTGAGACATGGGTTTATACCTATGATATTGAAATGAAGGTGCTGTCATCACAGTGGGTGGTCAGAGGGTCTCTCCTCTTCCAAAAAAAGCATGCATGAGTTGGTCAGAGATTAAGGTGATGTTGGTTGTCTTTTCACTGCAATCTCCATTAGGAATTTGTACCATATGGTCAGATAGTAAACAATGTGCATCTGAAAATTCTAGTGTGTTTGAGAGATGCTATGTACAGGAAGAATTGTGGGGAAAAAAAAGGATGTCAGATCATTACAGTGAGCCAGCTCACACATGTCTCTTTGTATGCAGCTCCCTATCTAGCAAAACATCACACTCCAGCATCCACTGTATTCGATGGACCAAGCCACAGCAGACATTTTCCTGTTTCCCAAACTGAAAACCATTTTGAAAAAAAGTCATTTCCAAATCCCATACGACATTCAGGACAATGTGACATGATATCTGTGCTCCATCCCAGAAAATGTGTTCCAGGTGGATTTCTAAGTATGGAAGAAACCATTGGAATGATGTATTACCAGTAGAGGAGACAGTGTTTAAAATGTTGTACACTAAGCGTTAAAAATGTAGTAAAAATTCAGTTTCTTTTTGATTATATATGTTTTGGGTAAGTAAACATTTTATATGCCTTTTCTCCACCTCCCAAAACATATGTACACTGCACAAAAAAAAAAGGGAGGGGACAGTTCTGTGTCTTCTGTTCTACTGGGCCGATTAACGAAACTCACATTACGTTTCCCACAAAGTGCGATTTAGGGTATATATTAGATTTATATAAAGCATTGTTCTAACACAGGTATTCTGACACAAAATCAGAAAGACTTTTTCTGAAATAACATAAATTTGTTTCCCATATTTCGATTCTACAACTCAAATTATGCCTAGATATTAAATTTTGTAATTTTTGGTGAGAAATTAAAAAATCAATCTTGGCGAATTTTTTCAGTTTGTGCCAAGAATAAATCACTTGGCAAACTTCTTAATTTATAGCAACCTATTTTCCTTTGCCATTTTTCTTTGTGCATGAGGTTACCGTCCATACTTTCAAATAATTTTAACAAGGTGCATACACCACATTTTTATTATTATCGCTTATAATAAATATGCCAAATTTCAAAACGCACCAAAATATAAATTCACATATAACTTAGGAAATTTTGAATAAAAAACTGTAATTTTTTGCAGGTAAGCTTAGAAATACATCTACTGGCAAAAATTGTATAGGTTATAATTCAAGTTTTTTTTCCAAAAAATTTATAAAAATTATTTAAAAATACAAATTTTAAAAATAAATCACAAAAAATTGGGGAATTTTGTTTGAAATGAACCTAAATTTTAAAATAGGAAAGGAAGAATCAAGTAAGTTTAATAATAAAAAAAGAGATATTAATAAATATATATCAAATTCAATTAACACTGAGGAGCTAAAATCTTGAGAGTTAATTTTTTAAAAAACTACTAGGGTGATTTTTTACAAAACTTAGCACTTTGGCATAATTTGAATCATGGAATCGAAATATGGAAAAAAGAATGGCATGTCACTTCAGAAAACATCCAATTTGTGTCAAAATACTTATAGCAGAACAATGCTATATATAAATGTAATACATATCCTAAGTCATGCTTTCGAGACATGAAAAATTTAAGTTGAACTTTGTCAATTGGACCAGTAGAAGAGGAGATATAGAACTGTCCCTCCTTTTTTGCACAGTGTACATTTTCAAAGTCCCATTTTCTTGCTTAGGTCCCATTTTCTCCATAGAATGGACACTTTTTGAACTGACATTACCTCTTGCCATCAGATAAAAAATATAAATAAAAAAAAAATTACTTTACAATGATTTTGAGCATGCATATTAGTCTTTACTAGAAAAATTTTACTACTATAAAATGCTCTCACACACACATATATGCATTCATTGATTGGTCTATTTAATAAAAAATATTCTTTTTATTAAATATTTTCGCTTTTAAATTACACTTTTCTACCACCGTGTTAAATTACATTCTCTTTCTGAAGCTTATGTTTCGGAACAAGGTCTAAAATGAGCGTACAAAGTAAAAAAACATCACATTGATAAAGCTCATCTGAACTGTTGATAACAACAGGAAGAAAATGGATATTGCTGCAGTATAAAGCCAACCAGTATACTCATGATTATGTAAAGTGCACAGAAGAAACATTTTAAATGGCACCTTGAAACAGAATTAGAAGTTTTGTATCCTAAATACATCCAAAGCTATATATCCCCACAATTATATTGTTAAACTTCTCTCTTGTCTGTAAAAGCATGGCTTTCATGTTGCTAAAATATATTATACCCATAAATCAGGTCATGAGCAATGAAGCTCTTGGGGGGGGGATCAGAATTTTTGTAGCTGCATTTAAATATCCTAATTTAAAATTAATAGACATGCAAATGACCAGCTCTAATGACAAATCTAATATCTTTGTCTTAATCCTTCGGTGGGTGCAAAATTAAACAAATTTTTCATTCCAATATATATGCGATATCTGTCGGTTGTTCATTTGTGCTCACTGTAGTGCAGTGCATAACTAAAATGCAACCTAAGTTCATTCATTACTATCAAAAGGTTAATCTGCGCATAAAGGACTATTAATGAAAGAATAATCAAGTTCAGATGAACGAGGAACTAGTTAAGATGAGCAAATCTGTCTTTACATTATTTATGTTCAAAAAAACATTAATGCTTTCAATACGAGTATTTCAGAGAATACCATTAACAAATGCATAAATAAAGCATGAATAGCATCAGTGGCATTAAGGAAGAAAGTAATATACATACAGATCAACACACTCTACCAACATTATTATCTACAAAAGGAAATGGTCATGTACAAATGAGAACTGTTAAATGGTCAGGCAGATTGCTTGAATTTAATTATGAAATACCATACAAAACAAATTAGCTAACTGCTTATTCAGAATATATATTACAGAAGTAAATGCAGAAGCAGAAGAACAGGAAATAGTAATGGTTGCTGCTATAATTCAAAATATGATTTCCAAAACAGAAATGAAATTTAAAAAAGACTTATCAACAATCTAACATGCTAATTCAGTAACCAGTATAACATCTGCTACCTATCTTCAACAGTGAGTTGAAAGAAAAATTTCCCAGAATTTTAGCTTTTGGAATATCCGACAGGTTAACTAACATATTTGAATATTTGATTCGTGGGTGAACTGAATGAAAACCAGTTCTTTGGGGAAAATCTATGACAAAGCTTTTAAGCAGAGCATTTTCATGTCAAATGTTTATATTATATATATATATAATATATATATATAAAGAGAGAGAGAGAGGTTTCAGTAAAACATATTTTGGCTTTTCTTTTCGCTTCGCGTGTCGTTAGATTCGATAACTTCAGAAGTTCCCAAAGAAATTTGAAGACATGACATCAAAAGTTAATCCTCACATTATATTTAAATAACTAGCAGTGGCATATGATAATACTGTAAAGTCACATCAAATCAGCATTCATGAAGCTCTTCACATGACAGTATTTAATATGACACATGAGAATCATCAAGAAGTTATTCATACTAAGTACAGAATTCATGGCCATATATGATCAATGGAATTATTGAACAAATAAATTATTATATTTATACTCACGAATGCAAGTTATTTCAATATGTTTCATGTAATAAAGAATGAGACATGTAACTAACAAATTGCCATTTTAGAATTTATAGCATTTTTTTACACAAAAACTATATTTGGGAAATTAAACTCCCTTTAATCTATGCACATCAATGCCATTTCATTTATACTAGAAGAATGTTACAACTATTCATTTCAGATTGCCCATAAGATAACTCAATTAAAGAGAATACATTTCAGCTAATACTAGCACATACCAATAATGCATTTTTAAATACAATCATTCAAGAATAAATACTTAATGCTTACCTTCTCTAATTGTTATCATTCTTTCTTTTCGTTGTCTGCGTCCATATGAATACACATGAGTTGAGTCCTGTTTTAAAATTTTTTGAGGTAGAAATGCAGGGTAATCCTTTTTCTCCCGACACCTCAACTTGGGAAAATTGCACGACAGTTTTGTAGAATTAAATGGGAAACGACAAAAACTATCATATTTTTGTATTGACATCATTATGGCTTGCTCATCAATAAAATTTTTATGAGAATTTAATTTTAGTATTTTTATGCCTAGACATGAACTCAAAGGCGTATCATCTGGAAGTTTTGTATCTTGCAAATCCACTGCAGCTTCAAATGCTTTTGTCCTGGATAAAAGTCTGAGTGGGAATTCTGAATGTAACTTTTCAATACCTTCTGCTGCAAGTTTTTCTTTTGAAACAATGTTGAGACACCTATAAAATTCATCTTGAGTAATACAGTCATCGTGATAATCTTCTGTCACCTCTTTTTCGAAAAAAATAGGAATAGGTGATATGCAGCATACGCTCTCTCTGAAAGCAATAAAATACATTTATCATTACAAATGCATATAAAAAAAAATATACTACCGACTTTATGCCATTCAGTTAGCATTTTTAATTTAACAGAATTAAGGATAGATTTCTTATATGAACAGCATTAAGAACAAATACAATATTGATACTTCAGTAAACAAATGTATCATGACATAACAGAAGAATGCCTTTGCTAAAAATAAAAGATCCTGTATTTTCCCAAGTTGGACCCATCTTTCTTGGGTTATATATTCGTATGTCCCACAGTAATTGCCACTTGTTCAACAATTTACCTTTCACAATCATTTTAATATAGAGTCAACTAGACAATTCCACAGCAGATTCTGCTGTTAAGTAAAAAAAAAAGGGAGGGGAGGCTTGAAACTTTGTGATATCAAAAGTTTATGACAGTTTTTTATCCCTCCACCCCCAAATACTGCACACTTTAATTTTCTTGGTCTCTTTAATATCCCTTTCCTCGTGACCCAAAAAAATTCTTTCTACAGATATGCTTCCTTTGCACGGTAGTCCAAAGTTATATATGTTACAGTTGAATAATCAAATACAACTGATTTATCTTCGATTTTCTTTTTTATATTACAATAACACAATTACTAGATTTAAAGCTTTATAATTGCTAGAAGTTCATATCAAAATCTAATAATAATGAATCATATTCTAATCATCTAATAGTAATGAATTCTTTATTATTATTATTTCATTACTATTATTTTACTAATGAAAATAGATTATCAAGTATTGCATTCCGACCTGCAGGCATATAAAGCTAATTCATATTTGTTTTATTTTATCAAGTTCTTTTCTCGTTTCTTAATTTCTAGTAAAAGCAAAGACATAAAATTCACAAATTATTTACGAGATTGATCAGAAACAGTAAATGCTATATAAACATTGTATACATTTTGCGCTTAATAAATAAATAAATTTAGTTTAAACTAAATCAAAACAAACCTCGAAAAAGGTCGCATATATGGTAACCTATTCTAGACTATTGTCCAGCATCCGACAAACATGTAAATTGTATTGCATCGATGGAGGGGACAAATGATCACCCTAATGACTTTTCTCATTAGGGAAAAGCAAAGGAGGGGAGGGGAACGTGTTTTGGATCCTGTTGTCCTAAAAGTTATATTATGAAAATTTAAGCCAGGTTTTAGAAGGTTAATTACTGAAACAAAGAATGAGACGTGAAACCATTAATATACTTTACACAAAGACTGTTGAAATATGGGCATTCTGTGAAAATGTCACACCAGAATAGTATTGCAATTAGAACATACAGATTCATACTTGGCTGTTAAAAAGTAAATATTTGTGATTAAAAAATGATCAATATTCAGGCACATTAAAAGGAATTTTTCCTTTCGATTTGTTCACCTCTTGATACTCTCCTCAAGGTTTTATCTTTCTTGGGTTATATATTTGTATGTCCCACAGTAATTGCCACTTGTTCAACAATTTACCTTTCATAATCATTTTAACCCCTTAACTGCCACGGGCGTATATATACGCCTTGCTCAGCCGATGCGTTAACTGCCCCAGATGCGCAGCCGATGCGTTAACTTTGCGAATAATTTTAGGTGTAGCAGCGCAAAGCAAATGATAGCAGTTTGGAAGGACGTATATATACGCCTGGGGCAGTTAACGCATCGGCTGAGCAAGGCATATATATAACGCCCGCGGCAGTTAAGGGGACTTCTAAATGGAAAGATGATTTGATAGGTCTGTGAATTGTTTTAATTATTAGCAAATAATAAATATAAATAAATTCTCCATTATATAAGGGAAATCCATTATACATTAAATACAGAAAATTTCAAAACTTATATTTTTCTTTATACATTTAATAAATGCAATTAAATGCTTAATACGTGTGAGCAAAAGTTTAATTTAGTAACAAGTCAGTAACAAGATATGTTAATCTCATACCCATAAAATACTATAGTTAACAGCCTCAAGACATATAACATCTGCACGTTTCAGTAATACAATAAGTTGTGACATGCTCAGCTAATAAATGTGAAGCCACTTTGCATCAGTGTGGTAGCATATAACATTCAGATAATGTATGTATTCCTTTCCTTCAAAATTTTATGATATTTATTACCTAAGAACTTGTATCTATAAATTTCAGAGAATAGCCTGTGTATGCAAAAGGGGGAGGAAGAGGTCATATCATTTTGGGTTTGGAATCACTTGTTTTCTATGTATGACCTTCTAGAGAATATGTTAATTTTAAAAGTGGACATATGCAACTACAGTTGTTCTTTTCTGAGCTTCTACTAGAGTAAAATCATTAGTTCAAACACTTAATTGTTCAGCGAATAAAGTTTTAACATGCAGAAAGTAGATCTCACAAAGAATATCTTAATATTATAAATATGTTTACCGACTTCAAAAGCTTTTGCTGGTTATTAAAATATTTATCCACTAAAGTCAGCTTATTTGTCTTTTATTAAACATCTCTTTAGAAAGCAGTCTGAATTTAAAGTAGAAAATTAACAACCTTATTTTTCATAAATTAATGAATTAAATTATCTACAAAATTAACAAACTTCAGTTAAAGAACAGTCAGAGATTTTCCTTCCTCCAGGCAAATTCTTTCTATTTCTTAAAAGCAGAGGCACTGACAAACATTTCAAGAATGCCTTCCTCTTAATTAGTCCTTAACGAGTAACATTTAACATTCATATACACACTAAACCTAAAAATAAACACAACTGATTGCAATATCATTAAAAATAGAAATGAACTGTTTGGCATGCAAATATTGACTTGTGATATATTAATATTCTTTACTATGGTTAAGGAAATTAACACACAGGAAACAAAAAAACAAAAAAAAAAATTATATCAACTCTTCAGGAATGTAAAGAATCATATAAAGTACACTGCATAACAACATCAAATCAAAGTTATATGATAAATTACACAGTGTTGAGAAAGGATAATATTGATGGTTAGGAAATGATCAACTCCTGTTTCTCATAAAATTATTTTTTGTTACAGTAAAAATTGGAAATGCAACTACCTGAATTGACTGTTACATAAAATGTGTGTTTAACAGCAAAATTATACATTCTGGTGGCAATACCAAAATAGGAACTATTCAGAACGGAAACAAATAATGTGACCAGGTGAATTCAGTTTCCTGCTGCAATGTTATGAGAAAATAAGACTGCAGCAATGACGACATGAAAGAACACCCGTTCCCTAAAAATTAGCAATTATATATTTTAGTTGAAATTAGGAACTATTTAGAATGGAAACAAATAATGTAGCCAGGCGAATTCAATTTCCTGTAGCACAGCAATGACCACATGAAAGAACACCCATTCCCTAAAACTGTTTCTTTCTAGACATTGGCAAGTCTATGATGATGTGAGTAATTTTTTTTTTTTTTTTTTCTGGAATATATTGCATACCTTTAAGAAGATATGCGCAGCATGCTACTAGACTGCTCTAGCTGATCATGAACAAACATTGACAAATTCAGGTAAAGGCAGGCAGTTTGCTTTATCAAAATAAAATATCACCTTATTTGATCACTATATACAGGAAAAATTCAAATAACACTCATACAAGTTCCTGATCATAAGGCACACTTTTTTCTTGCCTTTAAACTCCACTTGACCTTTCCGAGATGCTATTCAACAATACATTCATTCCATGCTTTCAGAGACAGTGAACATGCTGTATTTGAAAATAATACAGCAATTACAGTTTAGATAGTTTCCACAGCAGCTACTAGATCATTTAAATACAAAAGATCATTTCACAGCTGCTTACCTTTACAAAAAATATAATAATAGGTATATCTTTATGAATAACAATAAAGGAAACAGGCTTACATTTAAATTACATAGGGAAATAAGTACAAAAATCCACATGAAAGTAGCTCATTCAGCTAATCACTCATCAGCATTCACTGAAAATAAAGCCAAGGTAAACTACTAGCATTCTGCGATCTAACATATTAGTAGTATTCAGAAGGTGTATGTGTACATGCGAGTTAATTTTGTAAAAGAAAGCATGAACAAGAAACTAATGGGAAAAGAAAGCAATGCTGATGAAGCAAAAATTAGATTAAGTACTTTCTTAAACATATCTGGCATAAAGCCAGATGGCAGCAAAAGCAATATTGTGATGCATATTTGCCATGTACTCACGGGAAGTACGCCGAGTCCTCTTTAATATTTCCTGTGATCAGCAGTGGAGTTCTACAAAAAAAAAACATATTATAAATATGTTTTTACTAAGTAAACTTCACATTCTTGTATTGAATATTAACTGCCATAATTTATATGTCAAAAAGTGACAGATTCCAGTTTTTTTTTTTTTTTTTGGTGTGTGTGTGTGTGTGTGTGTGTGCGTGTAGACACATCAACCAAAGAAAATTTTAACAAAAATCAGCATGATTTATTAATAATACTTCTGATTTTTTATGTATCTGCTATCAAATAATTACTAATTTCTTAAACTCTTAGGCATTAAAGACAGATAAAATGTTGGCTTCTCGTGAAACATACTCATCAACATGTTAAGTAAATTCAAAAAGTACATGTTAAGTAAATTTACGTTAAACAAAAACATATATTCATGTTTGCTCACAGATGTGATCACCAGACAGAAATGTACAGCACTCAGCAACTGTCTGAGGTAGTTTTCAAATTTCTGAAAAATAAGCTCCAGCATAGTCAGCTGGTTTCATATTTTTTCTAATTTTAGATTAGCTATTCTTACTTCATTCTAGAATATATTCCAAAGAATACAACTAAAAAGCTAGCTAATGTAGAAATAACGTGCGAAATGATTGATTACTACAAAACATTCAATCACATACTTAAAAAATGATTTCTAGAAGTAGTTTCTCAAAATGAAATACATTAAATTTCTGCCGGAAAAATGGTTGTCAAAGTCTATTAGAAGACATCAACAGCTCTACAGCTTATTTTACCAACTCTCCTAACATAAACCTGTATATTAGATTTAAAATATATATATATATATTGCATTTGTGGGTGGGGAATATACTGAGTGGTTATAATTGAACTTCCCCTATAAACGTCATCCTACACCGCAAATGGGTGAACGGAATGCAATGACGTTTTGTATAAGGGCTATACACAAGATGCGCACACGGAATTTCGAAAAAACATTTTAGTTCCAAAATTTCCACTAGAGGGTACCTTTTCGGGAAAAACATAAAATTTAACATAATAAATGACCAAAATGGAATACAGAAACAATATTGACAAGTTTCTGATCACCTTGTCATCGAACCACATTAAGTAAAGGTAATGGAAAAAACAAAAACAGATTAGGACGAAAGTGCACAAAAGCAGCAGTTGTTAATTGTGTTCAGGGCGATGTAGGGAAAGGTGCTGTACATGACCACCCTCATTCACCTGCAAAATGTCAAGTCGATAGACAGTGTGTTCAACAGCAGATCCTAACCGATCAGTTGTCAGGCTTTGCACATGAAGTGTTATGGAGTTCTTTAAGACATTCAATGTCGCAATACTTCCACGATACACCAGACTTTTAAATAGCTCCATAAACAGAAATTGCAGCACGAAGTTAGATCCAGCGAACGTGATGGCCATGGATTAGGAAAGCAGCGACTAATAATACATTCCTATGTGAAATGTTGGGGCAATAGCGCTTCACGGACCTATGGATATGTGGGAGCACACCATCCTGCATGAAAATGTTTGATGTAAGGACCTGCCTTTGCTGTGGTTGTGACACAATAAGCGTCTGCAGCATGTCCTGGTACCGACAGCCCATAATGAAGCATGTGACAGGCTCACGTTCATCGATTTCCTCAAAGAAGAATGGCCCAATGATGATTGTCGCTGTGAATCCACAACAGACATCTAACTTTGGAGATTGTAGGGAAATTTCAGTGTGGATCCGCAGATTTTTCTTAGCCCAAATACAACAATTCAGTGTGTTGACTGTCCCATTGAGGTAGAAATGAGCCTCGTCACTCTACAGAACATTCCAAGGCCATGACAGATCAACAGTCATTCTGTTGAGAAAACTGACTGTAAATGAGAGACGTTGTGGGTTGCCCCTATCAAGCAGCTCCTGGGTATGGTGGATCTTGTATGGGAAGTAGTGCATTATGATTCTGAGTACTTTTCAGATGGTGCTGAAGAATAGCCTGTCTGTCGGAAAACTACATGCACAGTACAGCCCCTGAACTCTGACGGCTGTGACTGTGTGTCAACAGCTGTCTTGTCAGCATCAACAAGTGCTCGTGTGACATGTTTACGGCCTCTTCTAGGCTGAACTCCTTATTTCCCCGTCTCGTCAAATCTCCTAATCACCACAGCCCGCATACCTTTAGTAGATAATGGTCCACGGCGTAGGTTCTTTTTACGAAAAATTCACGGATTGCAGCTGAAGGATTCCCCGTTTTCGTAAAACAGCTTCACCAATAACACACGTTCAACTAAAGAGACTGTCATTAGTACAGCCAGAAACATCGACTTAAACATGACAACATCTGCAAACGTTTTATAGCCTAACCAAGTGATGGCGAACCTATGCCATGTGTGCCACAGTCGACACGCAGAGCCTCATAAGCCGGCATGCGACTAGAATATTTCTTCCTGAATTAATAATCACAATAAAATGATACTATGTAATTTAAATAAGTGTTTTAGTCTGTTCTTGAAAGTTTCACCTTACTTACCTATCACATAATGCTACTGGCATCGGGTTTAAGCCTAGATATAAGATTTTCATATATCACCATAGAAATGATATACATATTTATTGACCAAATTTATGATGTTTCAATTGTTTGGGACAATCATATTATTACTTGTTACATGGCAAAGAATATGCCAAAGTTGAAGCAGTTAATGCTTCCTAAACGAATTCAAATTTATTGCAGACTGCCAGTGAGTTTTAATACTTTCACTGTTATATAGATTCCAGTTTTCAGATCTAAGCATTTTGAGGTAACTTATGAATAAGTCTAATTTAATATCTTAAACAGAATGTACAAATATAATGTAAAAACATGCAATTAGATAATATAGCAAAACATGAAAGCTTAGTAGAAAAACAAAACTTATTCACATGCACTGAGCCAAAATAAGCCCAATAAAGCCGAAAATGAGCATATAAAAATCTAAAGTTTAGCAAAGAGATCTCCGACTTAACGGTTACTGCTGCCCCTGTTCATATTTGAATCCACAGACACAGATTGTTGAAAATCCAGTTCCTTAGTATTGGCTAACAAAGTTTACTTTTTTTAGTACGTGATTGATTTGTATTTAATGCTTCATTTTTAAATTTTGTGCTTTTCTATACTCCAGATCTTGAACCCTCACAAACAACTCCAGCAAAAAAAAAGGCAAAATTAAGCACTGATAGTCAAAGATCAAGGAAAGCATTTATGCATTCTGTGAGGGGAAAGTGTTGTGTGTCGCACATCTAGTGTCAAGACGGCACTTTAACACCACAAGATTGTTGCTGAACTGGAGGTGCTTACCGAAGGGAAATTGAGGGATTAAATTACGAGAAAGCTGGTTTTTGCAATTATCTTTCTAAAACAAACCATCTAACAACGGCCAGCTTTCAAATTTCACTGTGACTGGCAAAACATGATAAACTGCTTTCAAACTGTGCACGGATTTAATCAAAGAGGTCATGTTGTCTGGGAGTAATTCCCTTTTTCATGTCTTTCCAAATAAGCAAAAAATTAAACAACGCATCGCCGAGATGCCACTTAGCAGGAATACAGTTAAAGCGGATGACAAGTGATACTAGTCAGCACCTCATCAATGATTTACAAAAGGCAGCCTGTTACTCAATGTACTTGGATGAAAGCACAGATATAAATAACCATGCAAGGCTATGATGATACAGTCAAAACTCGTTAATCCAGACTCATCGGGACTTCGGCAATTCCGGATTATAGATCATCAGTTTAAATCTGGTAAGATGGCATGCAGAAATTATAAAATTAAAAATATGAAACTGTAATTTATGAAATAAAGAACAATTATGATCTAAAGGGTATCAAAAAAAAAAGCTTAATATTTATTTGTTTACTTTATTAAACATTTCTTTCAATGTAAGTTGTTTAAGTTGCTTCGTTTTATGTGATAATACTTTCTCTTTAATTCTCTAAACAGACATAATTTCTTCTTCAGTTACAATGTTCCACTAATTTGTCAATCGAAATTTTTTCATTTTCAATAGCCTCTGTATCACTTTCTTCTTTATCGGAAGCGAATTATAATGACAAGGAATTTGATTTAAATCATATCAAAGACGGAGTACATCGAGATGAAATACTACATTTAGTAAGGAATTATAAGCAAAGTAAAATAAAAACATCAGCCTGGAAGATAAGGATAGCGCTGACAGATTAACTTCGAATTCATTGCGCGCCGCGGCGTTTCCCCCCCCCCCCGGCCGCAGAGCAGCGTGGAATTGATAAACAGATTTCGGAATGGTTTGAGAAACGAAGGATATGCCTTTATCCATTTTTTGCAGCAATTCCACTTTTTGTGTAATGGACTTCTAAACATACTTTCGCTTTGTAGATCCTTTACATATTAGTAAATACATATCGGAAATTCTATTTGACATAATCGAAAGTTCAAGCTTACTTTTTATGAAATTGCTCTAACAGTCTGCAGAAAATAATAAGCCGGATCCAATTCGAAGATTCAGGAACAACACAATCTGCAACATTATTAGAAAATTTTAGCTTAGCTTATACTGTCCGTTACACATTAAACGTGCAAGCGTAAACGTATTACGCACACGCATATTCGCAGCCGTAAAAGTCTTACGTGCATGCGCAGAAAGTTTGTATTCCGAATTATGGGTGTCCGAATTAACGACTTTTGACTGTATATGAAAATCTTATATCTAGGCATAGGCCTTATGCCAGTGGCATTAGGTGGTTAAGTATTATGTGGAAACGTTCAAGAACAGACTAAAACAATTAAATTACATAATATAAAATTATTATGATTATTGACTAAGAAAGTAATATTTTAGTCGCATGCTGGCTGATGAGGCTCTGCATGCCGACTGTGGCATGTGTGCCATAGGTTTGCCATCACTTGGGTAGGGGATCGTGCATTTTGCCACTCCATGCAATTGCTGCAAAATTCTAAAAATTGCACCACCCTTAAATTCTATTGCACAGTACCTCTCCTAAATTCTAAAAATTCAGCCATCCCTA